TCACCAAAGCAGACGAACGCCCTACAATATAACATTGCACACGTATGTGACACACAGGGTTTAGCACACCTACCGCGATCGGATGCGTGGACCACCTGGACTGAGCCCGCGCAGCCTCTTCCACCGTTGGAGCGCTCAGAATCGCTGCCGCCGCGTGCCGCTCCCTCTTCACCGTTCGCACTATAAACTCGTGTGTCGGCACACTGAGGTACTTCCTCTTGATGTAGCAGGTTGAACACGGTCTGTGTGATGCCTGTTGCATGGTTGCTGTGGCACGGCACCCTTTCGGGTAGTCGCCTACCAAGGCAAATAGGCATTGATATGCCTTCACCACACCTCCTGCCCCGTCAGCCACATCTAAGTACCGTAGAGGACCACTTCATGCACATGGTTACAAAAACATCGCTATTAGATGACGCTCAGCATCTCCGCCACACCATGCAGCCCACACCATACATTCTGTGCACTTACTCTCTGCTGTCTCGCATCAACGGACCCATCACTATGCGATACGCCTCCTGATACACCCGCGTCTTCTCCGTCGCTGAAGGCCATTCAGGCGGAAACGGGAGCACACCCACTAGCGCGTGTCTGGGCTCTCACCATCTTAACTCCTCCAGGACATTGACCAACCCCCTGAGCATGGGCCATGCATGTAAACGTCCATTCCCTGACGCGTACGTGCTGTCACTGTACGAAATGACACCCAGCACCATTGAATCCTCCTCTGGCAGGTCCACCTGTCAACGAAGCAGGCGTACCAACAATGTCAGTCCAATCCAGCATCGTAGTGACATCTGAAGTGAGAACCCTCTAACAATCCTCCAGCCATGTCCCTGTGTCGGGCGTACTTAAATGTCGCGTGTCCTCACTATCCTCCGGATCTCTCCTTGGCCGTTTGACAAACCCCTTCACATTGACAATTGTCTTCACGATCTTTTGCGAAATCTGCGCACAGGTTGGCATCATTCTCTTGTTAGAGCCGCTACATCGACATGGTCGGAATCACCACCACTAAAGGGCTCATATGTCCATGGTCTCACCAGCTTTGTGTCTCGGTACAGCAATTCCAACATCTGCGTTCTTCCTCCAGGCCCGCGCACCTCAATCTCGGCCTTCAGCCATGGCACCATGTCGTCAGGCGCGTGCTCATCCCCATACCGCCGAACGTCACCGACGTTCATCCACCTTCGAACCTCTGTATGATCGTACCCCGGGTGGTTGAATATGTGCAAGACGCGATTTATTTCCCTATCCGACAACTCGGCGTCTTTGAAGAACAGGTATAGCTCATTAAGGGTATCGAATAGCTCCCCCACGGTGGAAACGGTCCCATCTTCAGATTACGACAGATAGTCGCGCACTTGGTTCGCGTTTTCGGCTGACTCTCGCAGCCATTGGAACAACCTCTCGGAACCCTCGACGCTACCCGGTGCGGAGCCACTATCGGACTGTTGTGAGCCATGTCACAGCGCTGCCAACGCCTCCGCCAACGCCTCGGATGCCCGACGCTCTAATTGCTCGAGCAGCGCGTCACGGCACGTGTCATTGCGGTACAAATGGCTCCCCAGTGTGTTGTCGGACTCAAGCTCGTATCCACATGCCCCACATCTGTTCCCTACCATGCGGTATGATCTAGGCCACCGGCCCGACAATGCGTCCGTTCCTCGATGCACCAACCCGTGACACCCTTCCTATCCACATGTTGGCAAACTACCACACTCTAAACTCCGCATATAAGCTAGCCTGCCGTTACGAACTACCCGCGACCATCCTCTACGTAAACTCCACGCGCACCGCACGTCCTCATACTACGTGACACTTGGCGCACCGCCCTTTCCTTACCCTACCTAAACCGAGACGCGCTCATCCCGTGAGTGCTCTACGTTACACCACGAGCACCTATTCTATGATGTGGCGTCGCCGCCATATTTGCATCATCTGTCGCTCTAATGGTCGGTGAGTATGTTATCGGTAAGTAGAAACCCTAACAAAAGGCATCTAACAGCAATTTCCACCAGGGCGAGCTACAATCAATCGCTATCCGCTGAGCTGCTCGTGACATCCGTGTGTTGTATCCTCGGTATTGTAAACCGCCGAAGACGAACGCCGTGTTAAGGTTCACAAGTGAACTGAAAGGCAGGTCGAATTGTGGACGCATTCTAAACAATACACTTTTGGAATTAGAAAATATATGTTTTCATGGGGTCCAACATATATGTGCAGAACACATACTCCGAACTCTTACTACCCAATTCTCATGACCCGCACAATAGCCATACGGTCACTAGGTTCACCGTGGCTATCTCAACACATGGAGGCGTTGCGCAACATACCTATCACTAATCCCTTCCACGACGAACTCGCCGGGTACCACGTCGAGGCATAAGACGGTCCACAAGATCCAGTAGGAGCAACGCTCCATCAAAGTTAGTGGGCCTTGAATAATCTGCCACATCATCACGATGGTAACCGGTTGTTACACGTGCAGTACCACCTGAGACATTTAGCAGTAGACATCTCACCCTCTGTGTTCTCGTCATAAGTGTACCGGCGCCTCACCCGACGGCGTCCAGACTCGTTGGTTTTGCACTCCGGGCGTCCTACGGGACATGCAAGCAACATGTATGCAATGTACTGTTAGTATCCCACTGGTCAAGTACATCACGACATTGTCTTGTTACCAACAACAACACTATTCGGTACATACCTCTTGCTGCGCGCACTCGCACGGTCGGGGCAGCCGCGCTAGACGCACTGGTACCCGGAGATGGCGCATCCTCCGAGCTAGGAATAGAGTTAGCGGGAGGCAATGAAGCTTGATCACCATCGGGGACCCTATTCGCGCGGCCACCGTTACCACCGAAAAAGAATGCGAACATATCATCGAAACGGTTCGACACAACACGAGGCGTCACCGGTGGATCTGCGCTATCCGCGTACTTGGCTGGTTCGGCATCATCCAGATTTGCCGGACTTGAAGGTGCAGGATCCGCCACGGTTTCTTCCGCCCCGACTCGAATGGTGGCCGTCCCTTCTGTCGCTGTTGCCTTATCTGACTGCACGTTAGCGGTGATTCCGTCTTCTGCTCGGTCGTCAACGGAGTCCACCACTGGTGCACGGCACTGTCCTTTTATTTGTTCTGGTGTTTCTGACACCGGCACCGTTTTCCCCTGGCAGGTTTCGGCGTCGACATTGTCAGCATCGCCCATTGGTGGTGCCTTCCATGAGCCGTCTCGCCCCATAGACTCCGTGCCGTACGCGTCCTCCGTTCGGGAACTATGGTATCACGAAGTATCTGGTGGATGCGTCGCGCCACTCTAGCAGTGTCGTTGCTCGTAGGCGAAGCCATATTGGGCTGACCCCTAACACACGCATGTATCACTACGATGTTGATTTCCGGACTTGCAGCACTATGAAATCAACATGATATAGCCGTCACAACGACAAACTTATATACTGTTCATGCAGTACACCTGTTTTGAGTACACTACCGTAATTACATCAGCGTTATTTGTGTTTAAAAAACCGCCAGCACAAATAACCACTCAAAACAAACAGCAAGTTCACAATCACATTGAACTTTGGACATACGCAGTTATTACATATACTCGACACACCCGGTTTGGCTTGCAACAAATCTTCAAAAGCCTATCACGCGCTTATCAACGTTCTACCGGTCTCCCCCCATCTAGCACGTAACCGTAGATTTGACGAGGCGGATATGGTCACTACTTGGCTGAGAGGAGACCATGTTATGCCCGCGTGGCACCTTCGTGTGTTTGGTTGAGACCTTGGTCCACCAGGGGATCATTCCGAGTGCACCTGATAGATCACCTATGCACACGTTGTCATCCATCTTCTTCTGCTCCATAGATCCGTGCACTTGTAAGGAGGCAAGTACGACGCGTCAGCGCACACCCACCTGTTCCCATATCAACCGCAGATGAACATGATGACATCCATATTAATCTACCGTGTACTTACACCGGATGCATTGTCACAACTCGTAGCCATCACTTTGGGAGCCGCTGCATGGATCCTCGATCCATCCGAGCGACGCCTCTCCGCCTGCAACACGTCAGGCCGGACCCCATCACTTTCTCATGACCGATATCCAAACACGTGAGCATGGCTTTTAAGACTCACCTCGTACCCCATAGCTCGCGCTTCGGCCATTAATACGGCTCTGTAGTCAAACGATGGCAACCCAGGCAATAAGACGTCGTCAAGGCTTTTGGCGGTGTGGCTCACGAGTCTGTAATCTTCGACTGCCTTCATAAACCGACAATTATTGGCACGTGCTAAGGTCGGCTCCGCCACATCAGGATATGTCGCGTTTATGAGCCGGAGGTGTATGAACGGTATATGTGCATCTGCAGATACGGCCAGCGACTGGCGTTCCTCGGATCTGGCCCGCGCACGGTGCTGTTTAGGGCTCCACCGGCCGCTTCCCAAGAATGGGTCCAACGACCTCAAAATACTCGCAGCGTTAGGGGTCTCACCTCGATGGGTAAGTATGGCCCCGTGAAAATGCATGACAGCGTAAGCGATTGTGAGGTTCTGGCGTATGAAGTAGCTCCGCATATTTCGCCGTCGTGGGGCGAGCACCTGCCCCGATGGAGAAGGGGTAGCAGTCATTGCGCATGAATGCTCGGGTTTGAGGATCGAGTAATATGTCTGAGTCGGCGTGCATAAATGGCATCCGCACAATAGCCGACGAAGAAACCTTGAATACGTGTCCCATATCATCGGTCCCGTTATTGCGTGGTGAATGTAGGTATCAGGCGGTGAACATAAATTGCCTGGGGTGTACATTAAGGGATGGCTACAGGTTCCCATATGTGTCTGGCCATTTGGCACAATATTGCAATATACCAAATTGTTATTGTCGCTTTGATTAACACTATCATGGGCACAGCCGGGTGCAACAATACGCACATTACAAATCCCTTGCAAGGCGTTAGCATTACATACCCTACAGACCATACTCAATATCATCATTGACGCTGCTCATGGAGGCTCTGGGAGAGTGGAAGCATAATTCCTTGGTGGCCGACGTAGACGTTGAAGAAGGCGGTGCGTAACAGCCTGCGAGGCTTCTTCTCCGGGGTCCGCACGAGGCGGTCTACGAGGTCCGCGTTCCCCAGACGCTTGAACGTGACAACGTCACGTGCAGACACCCCGTTCACATTGGCGTGCCTTGTGTACGCGTCGGATGCCATACGCAGTACCCTGCGACGAGTCCTCTCGTCCCATGAGACGGTGCCGACATTGCGCGCGCCCTCCACCCGACGGCTATCATGCACAGCGACGGCTTCGGCCATATCCATGTCCACCTCATCATCCCACGTCACGTACTCTATCGCTTCCAGAACTGAGTCGGGCATGTCCAACCCGTCGAGCTTCCACTGCAAGCCGAGGAGGCTAGCAACAAGCTGCTCTATGATCTCCACGTGCATGTCGCTGTTGATAGCGTGTAGCTGTGACACCCAAGCGTCAGGGACGCACCCAGTACGCCAGAATGTGAGCTCAATGTGGGAAGTCGCCACCCCCCACATAGAGTCGTACGTCCACTGCAGTGTGTTCGCGGCTGATGGAGCGCGCCCGTACCACATCCATGCTGGGGGCACGCGTGTCAGACCTTGCGTCTGGAAGTCCAACCACATAGTGCGAAACTCGGACTTGAAGAACGCAGCGATGCCCTGCAGCACTGGGTTCCCCATGTCCGGCACAGCCTTGTGGAGCTGCACGATACGCGTGTTTGTGAGGTGGTCAAGAATGAAAGGCCCATCGGTCTCACGCTTGCCCTCTCCCCACGTCAGCAGATGCCTACAAGAAGACACCAGGATGACGATGTTGCGGTCTTCGGCGAACTTGGTTGCGTTGAGGCCTAGCATGAACTTCGTAAATAGCTGCGAGAGACAACATCATCAAGACAGCGACATTCAGTGAAGACATTTGGCCAACTCATAGATACATATTTTATATGGCACCCAGACTGACCATATACTGTACCTCGGGTGTGATACGCCCAGGGCGAGTACGGCGGATGTACACCCACTCATCGCCCTTCACATCGGAGCCCAGCCTCAACGGCTCACGATCCCGCGTCACGACAATGGGCTTGAAGCGGTGCGACCCGTTCGCGGAGTACAGAAGGCCTATGGAGAGCCTCTTATCATCGCGACCAAGACGCATGCCGTAAGGGTGCACGTACAGCTGCAGTCCCGGGTAGAGAGTTACCTCCACAAAGTAATAGACCTCGGTTTGAGGAGCGCCTAAACGAGACAGTAGTTCCTTGAGATACGCCATGGTTGTATAATAGCCCCAGATACCCCACCGGCATTATTAGTTATACCTGTAGGTTAGGCTGGTGCTTGCCCCAATGACGAGCCCCATCCCCGTCTGAGGTTGGGGTATGCGGACCCTAGTGTCTTTGCGGGGCATCTGGCTCATTCACCACCCTTACGACACTTGATCTGGATCGCGCACTGACGTCTGTCCCTATTCTAGGCGCGCGAATGGTCACCTTCTACTGTGACCACATGTCTGTGCCCCCATTGGGCCTATCGTGTAGAGATGCGGATGCACCCGATTGTAAATGTTTATTGGAAAATCTTGAGTTACGAAGTGTTTTTTTTTGTGTTCACTCAGTCAGTTTAGGGTGTTGTCATTGTCGTCTTGAACAACGCGCAAAATGTCCCATCACAAGGTGCGCAATGTGTGGGTACAACAATACAGTAACGGGTAACGTGAATGCATGGCGACGAGGCGACAATTTTCTTGTTTGATTACACGTGCATCGCGGAAATTCATCGCACGCGCAACTGACAGGTGTCGGTTTCGGCCACACCGAGCTGCCAATCACAAACCGCCATGGTGGTATCCACGCCACATTCCAGATTCTTCCCCATCCCTTGGGGCTTGGAAGTCCGCTGGAACCTCAATGCGGCCATTGCGGACATCGCGAACGTAACATCGTTTTGCGCGTCGCTGCCAAATGCAAATGTCCAGCACGCATTTTGTATGTTTGCGAGGCTTTTTGCGAAGCTCGCACTCGTGAAATTGCCCGAACCGAGTTTGCACCCCAAAATCCCCTTCGCCCTTTTCCAAACATATGCTTATAACCCGTTCAATTTGGCCTCCACTTTATGCTTCACCTTTGCAACCTTAGGGTTTCCGTCTCTCTCACGACTCTCTGAACCATGGCGCCCAAAACCAAAGCACAGGCCGCGATGCGTGGTCTCCGTAACCACGGCGCAACGGCAACGCGTAGGATTCAGGCTGAAATGATGCGTGATAATTCTACGATCCCAGAAAAGCTCGGCAACAAACGGATGCGCTCGCGTGACACTACTCATCCTACGCTTGCCAACGGGAGGGCTGGCACTACTGTTGTGTCCTCATGGGGTTCGCGGCTGCTGTGCGACGAAGAGGAGCCTCCACCTAATGGCGCGATCACGGTTCTGTTGACGAATCCGGAGGCGTCAACCTTCAAGGCGGTGTCGCTCTATAATCACATGGGTGTTGGCTGTCAGGTGTTGCCGCATGACGCTGCAACGCTCGAGGAAAAAAAAAAATCTCGGGGATGCGGTCATTGACTCTCATAACATGTAAGAATTCCAATTACCGTAGACACTCGTATGGCAAGCTTCGGTAAACCGTGTTAACCACAACAATATTGTTCCTCTTATACGTACGCGTTCTATGCAACCTTCTGAACATCCGATAACCGAGATGCCCGAACGGCAAGACTTGGGCCGTTCTTGACAGCAAGGCATATGTGTATGCTAAGATTCACAAGAAGCCGATCGGGAGATGCAGCAGTTCGTCCGTCTTCCAGTACCATTACATCGCCGTCCCTATTTTCGCCGCGTACGTATGTCTATGCACCGTATTGTAAACCGATGCTATTTGCGGAATTTGATACCATAAACTGTTACCCTAACCCATGAACCGATGCTTGGTGCAGAGACCATTATCTGTTGATGGTGGTGACAAACCCGAGCGCGATTATCAACTCGAGCTCTTCCGCGACTGGATCGGCGCAAGTGGACCTCATGCTATTCGACAGTGATGGGCTCCACTCCAAGACGACAGACGCATTCGACAACACTAAAGCGTGAGAATCTCGTTGAAAGAGCTGGAATTCATTAATGATTCAGTGACTCTGTGGCCAATTCCAGTGCATGTTACTGCACCTAATTTGTACACGCGATCACCCGGAAGTGGACCCAGAGCTGGCAAGACAGGTACTCGTCGCCGCGGATTGCAAAACCATGCAGGTAACGGGATATACAACGCATGACCGAGCAATCCATCACATGTGTCGTCATAGGTGTGCGTCCATATGTTAACGCCCATCTTGCCCGTGTGTTCGCAGTCTCACCGAATCCCAAAACAACCAAACAGCTGGGATTGCGGTGTGTACACGTGTCAGTATCTCGAGGCACTGGTGACATCTGGATTCGCTACGATGTACGATTTCATATCGTTCAAGGGTGTGAGCGCAGAGAGATACCGCCACCAGATGCGTGCCGATCTGTGTTCCCATGCGGAGGGGACGCTGATCCCCAAACTCCAGCGTTAGGGCCTACGCATCCCCTTGCAGCCTGTTCCGGTCATCGATGACGATGGCTACATGTGCGTGGACCCACCCGTGGATATGCGGCGTGAGCTGCTCGGGCATCGGGAGAAGTTAGCGGTTCTCGAGCACGACATACTCACGACTAAGGTGGAGGTTCTCGCCATCAGCAAAGGCGTGACCACAGCCGACCTGGATGCTAGGGCGCGAGAGCACTTGGGAGTCTTCGTTGACACCTCGGGGGTCAAGGTGACGTCGCGGAAGAGCACGAAGACAGAGGACACTGCAGACCCAGTCGGTCAGATAGAGTGCGCTCGTACGCCGCAGGTGCGAACGATGGCGTGTGTGCCTGCAATCTCCCCATGCTCGGCACCACGCACCCCGGCCCCAAAAGATGGCCTCCCGCCGGCCAGACGACTCCTGCGCCCAAGCAAGAGCGCAGCACCCTTGCCCTCGCGGTCCGTGGCCGCTCTACGACCCCCGTGCTTTCCGCTCCCGGAAACCCTAGCAGGGCATCAAGCAGTGGTAGAACGGGCGTGATGTGGAACGCGGCAAAGCAGAGGTATTATGTTCGTATAATATCTGGCCATAGACAGCAAGTGGGTCTAGGGTCGTACGAGGACAAGGATGAGGCTACATACGCATATGCGGCGGGGACGGTTGTCCTTCGGCCCAACTCTCGTATTAACTGCACTGTGGAACTATCTCATCAAGAGAGGCAAGCGCTTGAGGGATGCACCGAGAAGAACCTCAGGCTGCTGGTAAAGTTTAGGCGCTGGAACCGATGGAGGGAGTGGAGGGCCGCTTTGGAGGGATTGGAAGAAGCACCGCCAGCTGAGGCTCGTTCCAGACGCAAGGGCAGATTTTCTCGGGCTGTAAGGGAGGTAGAGGAGGTGGTCGAGGCCACACAGAGTACAGAAGAGCAACCCATGGCTGCTGATCCTGAGACCCCACCTGGAGATTACACGGATGACGATGCCTCTGTCGACGAAGAAGAAGACTATGTGGCAGGGGACGAGGACATGGAAGAGGATGAGGAGTGGGAGGAGGTCAACCAGGAGGAGCTTGAGGCATGATCTGGCCATTTGGATAGCCACTGAACATGTGCGCTTTAGATGCTTGTAGCTTGTACATTGTTATATTTGGGGAAGCGAAATACTTCTTGTGGCATTAACTGGATTCGAATTTGACAATGGAAACCAGCTTGCAAATGCAATGTTCTCAAAAAGTATACGCACAATGGAGATATCCATCGACAACTTAACATGTTATATATTGTTAGTGGCAGGGGAAGTGTACTCTACTGCTGTACAATTGTGAGCGACCATTCATATATGTCGTTTAGTTATGTCGCTTGTGCAGACGGCCATTTGGGGTTTCTGTCATAGTCATCATCACCCAATAACGGGTACAAACGGATGCCGAATCTGCATGGCGACACAACTGTAAACATGGACGTCGAGTGGTTGAAACGAGAGCGTAATCCGCCTGACCTCCCGAATCATGACATGTGTACCCCTGTACGCGTGTACAATAGTGACACACCTTTGATGCGTGGCGCAATGCTAGACTCCATCACACCGATGTAGCCCCGGTCACGCGGGTACGACAGTTGTGATTTTCCCTCTATATGGCTATTTATGTGCCTATTCGAAACCCCCTAGTCTGTCTTCGTCCATTCCGCCCCTTCACGAATTCAAAATGAGTGCAGTCGGTGAACCACGTTCAGTGCGCCCTAAGAATGCCCCAGAGTGGCTAGCGTCCGCATACCAGTGGTCGCAAAAAAGGATGAACGGAGGACGTGCTCCGACGCCTAAGAGGCGCAAAAGGGAGACAGCTAGCAACCGCAAGAGTGCGAAGCAAGCGGACAACACTGAAGGTAAATTGTCATTTGACAACTGTTTACGTAGTTGTCATTGCAATCGAGACGTTGCATCACATTCGTTGCATCACCTCATTGTACTCCCAACCAATCCTTCCTCACAACGACTCAACAGGATACGTTGCATATACTAGGCGCCGACGATGTAGCGCCTGAGACCGCGAAAGCTGGCGCCACGCCTATCGCTGCGAGCGCACGCGCGGAGGACGAGGACACCGAGGCAGTGAACGAACGCCTAATGAACGAGCTTATGGACGGCGAGGATGACGAAAATGCGGAGGAGAACGTGGGCGGTGAGTCGTTCAGCAACGACCCATGCGGGGATAACCACGCCGAGGATGGACAGGCCCCAAAGGGGACCGCCTCGGCGAAGCTGCCAGAACCAACGCAAAGCCAAGTATCCCTCGCCAAATTTGACGCGTTGCGTCCGTCCCAGGCTGCTACTGCAAAGACAATGGCTCGTCTGGAGACACACATGCGTGCTATTGTTGCCCTTGGCGAGTCGCGTAAGCGCAAGAGGGCGACTGCTGGAGTTACAACATCGGCTCGCAGGGACCGGGTGAAGCGGCGGGACCTACTACGGCCTCGAGGAAAAGGAGCGAGTGGGAGGGGAGATGGGGAAAGATCGACTGGAAGAAGGTGGAAAGCAGGAGGGATTCGACGGTGATCACCAACAGAGCAAGGGACGTGCTGCTGAGAGTGCATTGCCTGAACCTACAAGTGGGCGGCAGA